AGCGAGCGTGTGCGCGCGCTTGCCCACGGGTGAAGTGCCCGTTCTTAACTGAATATAACGAAAGGTTCGCACACGTTTAAAGCGTGACCTATAAAGAAACCGGCAGCATCGTAGCATCGTAAACAATGCTTTGTAATTTTAAAGCGATGCCTTGGTATATCAAGGAAATATCGTATTTTGTTACAATGCTCTCTTTTTCTTTGTGATACAAGGCTCTGTGGGCTTTTCACAGCGCAGAGCTCTAAGAGAAAACGACAACGTGCTTGCTTGGTGGTAAAACCAAAACCCCGGTTCTGCACCTCTGAGCACCCACATAGCCACTGAGCAACAGCCCGTAAAATGAGACAGGAAAATACGATGATATATAGTTCGCGTTGAACACAACCGTTTATGAAAAGATAAGCCCTAAACGTAAGTACTAAAATCGAACGTGCACAACTCAAAAGTTTTACTGAAACAGAAAATAATGACATGCATGTTTGCAAACGCATCTACGATATTGTTTTATTGGCTTCAACTGTGTGTGTGTGTGTGTGTGTGTGTGTGAGTGTGTGTGTTTTAGAATCCTATAGCGCCTGTCCCCTCCCTAGTGAAAAAATCCAGTTTTGGACCAAATAATTTCTTATATTAACCCAATGACTCGACGCTCGTTACAACTTGCCTTGTTTTACTTAATTCCCACTTTACACGAAACCTATAAGCCATGCTTACAGGCGTCAAAGCTTCTGTTTAAATCGGGCAAAACTTTACCTTGCGATGCAATACTTCTGAAATACGGACCCCCAAGTTCATTGCTTAATCGCAACGCATCATCCGGTCCTATACTGGTGGTGTGTCCCATATAATAAAGTTCACGCACCGTGTCAGCGGTATCCACCGTCGATATAACGTCTGATCGCTTTGTTGCCTTAGGTGACACTGAGCGGGAGCGTCGCCGATCAGACGAGGTAGACGACGAGGGAATTGCTGTGGATTCCGACAAGGATGAGTCGGTTGTGTCGATGAATGACTGTTCGCCCTCGGTAGGACGGCGTTGTCGTTCAGGTTGGTGGTAGACAACCTCTACAGCTTCCGATGATTCAACTGTTCTTGTGAAAACCTCTGACGTGAGTAACTGGGTTACAAGTCCTTGATTCCCGGCACGCGCCAGGCGGCTTGGGCTTGAAGGCAGTGACGTCTGCAATCGTGGGTGGAGGGAATGCAACATTGGTTCTCTGGATGTTGGAATCGGTGCCGACGACGCGCGTCTCGAAACTGCCTCTCCTGAAGGACTCAGAATCCCAAGTGACTCAGCTTCGTCTTGAATCAAAGACGAACTATCAGGCTCAGTTAACTCAAAATCTTCCCCAGTAATTGTGGACGGTACGGATTCCTGGGATGTCTTCTTCTGGACGTTATTTGACGGCACTTTGGACGGCTTTGTTGTAGCTTTAGTGGACGATGACACAGGAATCGCACTCCGTTCCCGCCTCTTAATTTTGGACGGCTCAGTTAGCACAACACCCGTTACTGATGTTGATGTTTTAGTTGCATATTTGGTTTGGCGAACGCTTGTAGTATGGGAAGCAGTGTAGATTTTTTGGTGTGGTGCATCCTTACTGGTCATCGATTGCCTTTGGGTATGCTTGAAAGAAGCAGATGACGATGGTTGAGCTGTGTACTCACTTCTAGAGCGAGCTGTGTTACTTCTTGTGCTTGAGGCACTGCTGCTTTCTGATACGCGACGGGTCGATGATGACGTCGATGACACGCTTGAGGGTCTGGAAGTACCAGCTAATTTTGCTGTCTGTTTGGTGGAATATTTTCTTGGCGGAGTGTTATCACGCGGTGACTTTTGGACATGAGTTTGCTTCATTTTCGTGTTTTGGGCATCTTTTTCGCTCGTTGTATGTCTCGATCGTCCAGACTGAATAGATTGAGTTACACTAACCGATTTTGTTGTCTGTTTGAGTGGCACTCTTTTAGTGGGCGTTCCCTCTCTAGAGGACTTTTGGCTGCTTGACAGCTTCTCTATAGTTTCTTGCGATTCTTTTCCCCGCTTTGCATCGCGGGAGACGGTTGAGCGCATGTAGTTAAAAGCAGAGGTTTGACGGTAAGGACTTTGGTATTCAGTCTTTTTAATTTCTAATGAACCCCTTGATTTAACTTTACTAGTTGATATATGTGGTTCCATTGCAGAAGTCGACAGCTGATCCTTACTCTGCGCAGATCTCTTGGATGGCAAATCAACAACAGTCCGCTGCGATGTTGTGCTTGATGTCGAGGTTCTTGTGATATTTGTATACTTTCCCTCAACAGATCCAGATGCTGTAGAGCTGCTTAGCTTTTGAAACTTCTCTGCCCGTGCTGTTCTACTCACAGTTGAGGATCCCGTGCTAACTTTTCTCGACATTTTTGAAGAAACTGCCTCGACACGACGTTTCGAAGTTTTCAAAGCAAGTAATTCTTTGTCATCACGAATGTTTCCATCCGTTAAATCTTCAACAGCTGTTAGCTCGTACTCAATTTCAGTTGACATTGGAACATCTATTGATACTTCAATCATATCATCGTTTCTTTCAATCTCTTTGTTATTCGGCGGGTCACAGTTTGGGGACTCTGCCTGAGACGTAACCAGAGCACTTTGTTCTAATAAGTCTCCAACAGCGTAATCACGCTCAACAAAGTCCTCCGATGATACTGTAGAGAATGTGTTGTCTTCAGCGATCCCAGCTGTTGCACCACCAGAAATCCGCTGCAACACCCCAGAGCGCGAGCTTTCCTCGACACTAGCTCTGTGTTTAATCTCCAATGTTTGGGACATTTGGAATGATTCACTGTCTCCTCCAACAATGCGCTCACTACCCCCAGTGAATGAATCTCTGTCATTAGATGTGTCAGTAATTTCAAAACTTGACCCAGTCTCTACTGCATCTGAAACAGTAGTTATCGAGACGTCCGTGACATCAGAGGAAACCTCCTCAACTGTTGTATCAATGCACACTGCTATTCCACCCGTAAAATGTTTTGATTCAACTACAGTCCCACTACGGAGTTCGTCGAACTGTTCTCCTCGAGAGGCAGAACCCCTAACACATGTTTCTACTTTCATAGCATTACTTAAATCACAAGACTCTATGAGATCAACAGACTCAATACAAGGTGCATTCACAACCTCTCGCGATTTCTTAGTGCAGGTGAGATCGTTTCCACTATCAATGCTACTTTGTGCTTCATTGGAAGATGTAATTTCGGATAAAGAAGTAATGTGCGTAGTTCTTAAAGCATACTGTTCCAGAGCGGAACTTTGAGAAATGGCCGTGGATACATCGTTTGGATCTATAATATGCGACTTTGTACTACCACTCAAGGCGTCAGACGACTCTGGTTTGAAGTCAACTTGTGCTATGTCTTGGGAAACAGGTAACGGCTTTGTTGACTGCAAGTTTTCACAATGAGAAACTTTTTCAAGATCAGCAGTTATTGATGGATGTTCCCCAGGTGGACAATAATTATCAACTTCACTTAGAATAACCTGAACTTTCTCGGTAGACCGAAAACTTTGAGAAGGCTCTGAAAAAGACAAACTAATAGGAGTGGCTATTTTCTCAAATACATTAACATCATATTCATGAGCTGCAACTTGGCGAGGATGCGACTCGCTTCTATCACTAAGTTTTGGCTTATCTACGCCAGGTTGAACAGAAGCAAAATTTTCTTTTTCTCCTTGTGGTTCTCCCATGTCTTTATCATTAGTACCAGCAGGTGCCTTTGAAATGGTTCCCCGCTCTTCAGACAAAAAAGCACCAGTAAGAGTACTATAACGCTCAAGTAGCAATTCGCTACTAATGTGACTAACACGTTCTGGACGGGCCTCAACAAGTTTTCGCTCTTCGACTAAAAACCGATCCGTTAAAATTGAGATACTGGCCTCTGCATGGGCATCCATATCTGGATTAGCGGTTTTTAAAGGTTGATTATCAAGTATGATTGGCTCGCTGACGTCAGAAGGTTCAAAAGATGTGAGCTCAGGCACAACACGCCTTACACACATCTCTTCAACCTCTACAGGATACGATTCAGTAGACGCGATGTCCCGTGTATGACGTGCTGAACGAAGCGAAACAAGGTTTGGAGGTGAAATGCTACTTTTCTGGCGATGCAGTTCATCGTCAGCCACTTCACGGAACTGGGAAAAATCGACATCAGGGAAATTCTCATCAATACTAGCCCTGTGCACAACTTTTTGAATGCAAACAGGTTCATTGCTAGCATCGCCCGAAACATGTGCAATTCCTTCCTCTAATTTTGTGTGGGAAACATCACTTCCAGATAACTCAAAGGATGATACGGGAACGCCAGGTGCCTGCTCCAAGGCACTCTGAACAGCCAAGAGTTCCAAATCAAAATCAGAAGACGACTGACTTATAACCTGGGACTCTTCAGGAACGTCACTTACTTGTGTTCGGAGCGTTTTCGTGGGCGACCCTACACTGAAGGTATGTTTTTTCATAACTGATTCCTCAGCGACGATGGGAAACAAATCTCCGCCAGTCACCGGTGGGGCGGTCAGTGTCAGAGCAGTCTCAACCGCAACAGCCTTGACAACATCAACTGTTACGTCATGTGAAATAGGATAACCGGTGTCCTCACTATCTTCGGCCACAAAACTGCTGTCACGGTAGCTATCACCAACATTCAGAGGATTTACGGCCTCCTCACTAGAATGCCCTAAAATTACAGCTACCTCCTTAAATAAAAGATTGCCATCCGATTTCTCGACAACCTGTTCGTGAACTATCGAAGAACTGTTTTGCTTCGTCAAATCAAAATCCGATTGAGCAAAAGACCCACCGACCGGAAAAGCAGTCTCTTGAGAATGCTTGCCTTTAAGGTTTCCATCACTCTCCTCACTGCCAACATCAGCTGCTAACAACAAATCAATCTCAGGCTCCGTAAAATTAATAACTTCTGGATCAGTCAAAACGTCAGACAAGGTCTCCACAGCCATCTCTACAACACTTTCAATGCCAACTTGAAAAGCAGTTGACTGCAATGGAATAAAACCTTCATTTGAACCTCCTAAAACCCTCTTCGAGTCTTCTGACAAAACAGTGCCTGCCACATTCTCATTGCTGCTCTCGACTGAGCCCTTGGCCACGGCAGCAAAAGCCTTGACTTCAACAACGCCCGCATCAAGACTTTTTAGCTCATCGCTTACAACCCTGTAATCAGTAACAGCAACAATCTCGGCTTCGTCCACTAAAGCGTCATTGAGGCCCTTAAGGTCTGTACCAATGTAAGTCACGGTGTCCTGCGCTTCGATTCGAATTTCAGTAAGTTCCGCATTGTCGGCGCCTGCCTCGAGGCCTGTAAGGCGTTCATAAGCTACACCTTCAGAAGGTTCGCCTACTTTCTCGGCCTCGCCCACAAAAGCGCCCACAAAAGCCTCCGCACCCATTCTTATGTCTGCAGCGACGTCAGAGACAGTGTCCTGCACTCTGATTTTGACTTCATCCACTTTCTCGGCGGCTGTGCTCGCGACGCCATCCTTGACCTCGACAACTTCTTTCTTGGCGGACACAGCAGCTTCTTTCGCCTCGCGTGGTGACTTGTCGGCTATATCAGACACGCTGTCAGCAGTGTCCTCGCTTTGTCCCATCGGCAAACTGTCTTTTGCTTTACATTTGCCCTTCTTCGAGATCTCGTCCTTTTCGTGCTCAGCGGAATCCTTGATGTCAGAGACAGTGTCTGCCGCCTTCTCTTTGCTCTCCTCGACCGCCTCCTTGGCCTCGGCTACAGTAGCTTTGGCCTCGTCGGCGCCCGCCTCGAGACTTTTCAGCCCGTCGCTAACTACCTCGTCTACGGCATCGCCTACTTTCTCGGCCCCGCCCACTACAGCGTCCTTGATCGCCTCCGCGCCCTCCCTTACGACTGCCGCGACGTCAGTCACGGTGTCCTGCACTTTGATTTCGAGTTCATCCGCTTTCTCGGCGGCCGCGCTCGCGACGCTATCCTTGGCCTCCACAACTTCCGTCTTGGCGGCCTCGGCCGCTTCTTTCGCCTCGCGTACCGACTCGTCAACTTTGTCCGACACGCTCTCAGCAGCGTCCTTGCCTTTGCCCATCAGGGAACCGAAGAAGCCGCCTACTGCTTTCTTTGCCTCTTTTACTTTACTTTTGCCCTTCTTCGAGATCTCGTCCTTTTCGTGCTCAACGGAATCCTTGATGTCAGAGACAGTGTCTGCCGCCTTCTCTTTGCTCTCCTCGACCGCCTCCTTGGCCTCGGCTACAGTAGCTTTGGCCTTGTCGACCTCTTGGCGAATTTTAACCTGTTTTTCTGCTAATTCTGTTCCTTTAGCCATGATTTGCTCTGTTTGTAATGTATCTTTTTTAATGGGGTCGATCTTGTTTGTTTGGTACATCTTTTGTTCGTTTTCTAAAAATAATTGTGTTTGTTCTGATTGTTTTAAAGTACTTTTGTCTCCGATTTGATTTACGTTTGATGCTTTGCATAGCATATCTGTTTTAGGTTTCGGTGGTTCATCTGTAGTTTTTCTTTTTTCCGAGAAGGCTTGCAGATCCTGCTCTATTTCTGTATTTATTTCGTCAGGATCTGTTTTATTTTTTGTTTCGTCATTTGTTTCTTCCGATACGTCTTTACCCTTGCTTCGTAGTGAACCAAAGAATTCTCCAACCACCTTCTTTGCTCCTTTTCCTTTTATTTTACCCTTTAAATATTTGTCTTCTGTTTCAATCTCTGCCATGTCAGCAACTTGGTGCTCTGTTACGATTGGTTTGCTTTGTATTTTAAGGATATCGTCTGTTTGGTACATTTGTTGCTCGTTTAACAAGAAAGCTTTGGTAGTAGCAAGTGTAGTTTTGTCTGTTTCTGCCTCAGTTTCTGTGAGTTTTGTGTCTTTGGTGGTAGATTCTTTGGCTTCTTCGCCATCTTTACTCTTTCCCCGAAGGGCTCCGAAGAACCCTCCGGCCTTCTTTTTGTGTCCCATTTGTCCTTGCTTTAGTTCATTTTCGTCCGTCAGTGCTATTTCAGAGCTTTTCGTTACACTTTCAATTGTTTCTGTGTCAATATGTGTGTCATCCTCATCGACGTACTTTAAGTCTGGTTCCGCGTGATAGCTTTGTTTTTCGTTCAGCAAAAAATGTTTAGTTGAAAGTAAGTCTGTATTCCTTTCACCTACACTGTCTAATTCGTCGCGTATTTGTGTTGTCACTACTGTTTCCTCAGATATATTTTTCATTTCCTTTTCACCTTTCTTTTTCTTTTTTGACTTTTTAGGAATTGCACTTCTTCCAGAATCGCTTTCTTGTTCTGAATCTGAGTCCCTTGACCGTCCCATTAGTGATCCAAAGAAACCACCGACTGCTTTTTTAGCTTCTTTTACTTTTCCTCTTATTTTGTGCCTTGTTTCAGGTGTGGATTCTCGCGAGTCTGCGGCTGGCATTTCAATGTCTTTTTCTAGTCTTTCCTCGACTTCAATAATTATTTGTTCATCAGTTTTGACAGAAGAACCCTGACTAAGAATGGCCTCAGCCTTCGTTATTTCTTGTTTTACCTTTTCCTCTTTTACGTTTTTCTCTTCATCCAATGCTTTCGTTGCATCTGCTAAAAGGCGCGCATCTTCTACGGCTATTTTTACGGAGGGATCCTTTTCGTCTCTTATAGTGCTCACGTCTGTAAGTACGAGACCCGTTTTTAAACCGGGATGAAAATCGTGCAAACAAGCACGCTCTGATTTGAGTAAGTCATTTGTCACCTTTAAAGTGGTTTTAGCATCTACTACGCTGATATCTACTGCTGTCGGGGTTGTAATTGGCTTGTCAGTGTATACGTCGGGCGATTTTCCTAATGAAACCACTTTTATCTCTTTGTCTTCGATTTCGGAAGATGCGTTTTCAGAAGACTTCATTCTTTCATCAAATTTGGTAGTCACGATTTTCTCAGAAAGAGATTTAGACTCAGATTTTATAGACATTATGTATTTTGAAGGTTCCCCTCTATCTCCCGATACCTTTATCTCGTCATTTACCTTATCCTTTTCGTCCTTTACTAGGTGTGCGTACGACCTGTCAGAAATGCACTCCACACTTTGGTCCACTAGCTGTTCGCCCTCCTGACTAGGTTTCGAGACTGCATCTAATGCCATTGATTGCCCTACGGCCACACAAACAATCAAAGCAGACCGAAGTTCGCTTTCAACTGTTCGCCCATCATCAGCCCTAGCACTGCTAACGTGAATTGTTTCGTCTGTTTCAGATTTCTCTGAAGTATGTATATTTCGCCCTTTACGTTCAGCCTCAAGCAAGTCATGGGTGGCCTTAATTGCTAGCACCGTCGCGGGCTCAACTTTGCCACTCTTCACTTTCTCAGAGCCCTCATCAAGTTTTTCGTCTGCTACTGCTTGGGTTTCCAAAACTGAATCTACATCTTGTGTAGATGCAGATGGAACGCGTAAGTCTGCTTCCGAACTTAAAACCTTACGTTCACCGGGAGGTGAACACGGTCTAGTATCGCCATCTAAATCCGAATCAAGTCGTTCGTGGTCGTCGGGCTCCTTATGTTGAATTGTAAGTTCAGTCGTTTGGCTGCAGCTTACCTCTGGTATGAGTGACATCCCCGTTGCCCTAGCTAGAGCCAAGTTTAAAGTGCCTAAATCTGATCCCTCAGGGGTTGGAGTCAAATCTGGTTTCAGCTGCCGCACTTCCTGCTTTATTTGACGGGTGCATTCGGCTACCTCTGACATTAGATCAGACACGTCCCTCTCTGTTACAACATGATCAGCTTCTTTCTGCAAACTGCGTGGTCTGGGGTCACATACCTCTTTTCTGACAACATCTACAACATGAGATCCATCAATGCTACTAGTAGTGGAGAGAGAACCAACATTTTCCTGATGAGTTGTTGCTCCTTTCTGCAGTTCCATGGCGGAAAGTGTAGCGGAGCTTTCAGTGCTTGCAGAATCTTCTTCAACTTGTGCGCTAGGAGAAGACATTTCTGGGGTTGCGGTGGCAGCATGGTCAGATGTGAGAGCATTGTCTACAGTTGTGTTTTCCGCAGTCAATTCGGTGTCATCAAGCGTCTTTCTAATCCGCTCAAGTGTGGTTTGCGCAGTAAGCAAGTCAGGAGCCAATGTTTTAATTGAATGGTGTTGGTTTGAAACCTCATTGGGTACTCCAGAAACGTCAAGTTTCTCGCTTATCCGCTTAAGTGTCTCTTCAGTTTTATGCAGACATGTCTCAACACCCGTCGGCAAACCTTCATCTCGTTTTTCAGTTAAACGGTTTTCATGGTCACTTGAAAACTCGGGAAGGATATTTTCAACTGTATCTCTTAGCTTCTCCATTGCACTAACCGTAGCTGCTAAGTCTTGGGCAAATGGTTGCCGTTGTTGTTCACTGTGAGATGTCACAGTCTTCACATGAGCTATTGTTTCTTTGACAGTTTCAACTTTGTTCATTTCATGTGCAGTTGTTTTTACTGTAAATGTCAGGACAGAGCTATCTTCCCTGTTTTCCATTTCTGTCGTTTCTTCCCTAGTAGTCTTGACTACGACTTGCTTCACCTCTTCTCTTTCAATAATCTCGTCCACGTTTTCCTCGAAAATCTTTCTATCATGTAAATTTGACTCTTGAGGAGCTTGTGGTGTTTCAGTCGTTTTACTTGTTTTCTGGAGTTCTTGTGATTTGGTTGTAATTGGATGTACACTAACGTTATCCAAATTAGTTTCCTGTACAAAAACGGTTCGTTTTCCATCTGATTGCCCTGCTACCTTTACCGTTAATTCTTCACGATCGCTTTCTATGCTTTTATTTATATCTTCCATCACAGAAAATGTTACTTCAGTTTCGACTTTGTCAATAGAAATTTTATCATATGAAGCGCCTCGTGGTGGCGAGTCTTTGCTGCTCGAGCGCCGAGCATGCTTTGGGGTGCCCAGACTGTCTTCAATTTCCTCCACGATTTTTGATACACCCGGGTGTGATCTCAAACTTTCTTCGTCAGAATCGTCGTCCACCGTGCGTTGCACAGCTGTTTTAAGGTCTTCTCCTTCATCTGGCTCGGTAAACACCTTTTGGAGCTCTTTCACCTTCGGTCCTATTTTCTTGGGTGGACTTGGGTCCTTCTGTGGCAAACTGTGTGAAGTTTCCGGACCAATCTGAATTACTAATTCAGTTTTGAACCGTTTAGATTCTGTGTCTTCCTCAGGACTGCGTGCGAGATCCGCGTCATGGGGCAAAACAGGGGCCGACGCCGAGATAGAGCTTAATTGTTTGAGAGACTCATCATCCGAGCCAATTGGGCTCACTCCTGCGTCTTTTGTATCCACAGAATCTGTGTAGACGGACGCTTCTGAAGTAGGAATTTCTATAGGAGAAAGTGCTACGGAACTTGACTCAATCTGATAATCGTGAGGACTTGTGCCCATCTCTGTGAAACTAACAAGCGTCACTTCTTCGTCGTAAAATTTCATGTCAGAAGACATCGGTGGGAGGCCAATATCATCAGGTTGGATAGGACTCAATCCAGCATCGGTTAATTCTGATTCTTCTCCGTCAATGTCAGCGTCGATGTCCCTGTCGGCTCGGCCACGCGCTGGCTGCTGTGCTGGACTAGTGTCCGTTGTTCCACGTGTTAGACTAATGCCAGTATCTGTTATGAGATGTGATGCACTTTCGTCCGTACCAGGACTGTCAACAGAAGCTATAATAGCTTCACCCTGGTCGTACCGGTACACACTTTCCTCGCCACTAAACAAAACAGTTTCTTCTTTCTTGCGCTCCTTTCTACTAGGCAGTATAAAAATGCCACTGCTATGTTCTGGGCTTGACTGATCTTTGTACGTAACCTTCGCACAAGAGCGCTGTGGATCCACACCAGTTCTTGCTGAACGCCGTAGAGGTGACTCACTTTCCTCGGTGACGTCAGCGTCAAAGGACGCCGACGCCGAATCTTTCCCACCAGGCTCCTTTCTTGTGACGCTTATGTGCGACTCTGACCGAATCGATATCTCTACATCCTGACTTCCGTACAAAGTCACTGTACTCTCTGATGAAGCACTTGCGTCCCGTGTGCGTACCTTTTTGTGTCCAATTACGAGTTCAAGTGTAGGGGGTGTCTGCACTACTCTGCAAACAGCAGGTGGACTGGTTGATCGTGAAGATTGTCGTGGACTTTTATCACTGGTCGTGGAGTCTGTCGGAGGGTTGTCGTCTCCCACACCACCCGCAAGTCGATCGACGTCCTTGCGATGCTCAGCCCGCTTCTCGTCAGCAGCTCCCTTCTCCTCCCCCGGTGATTCGAGCTGCTTGAACTCCACCCCCATGGCCTGCATCTTATCGATCCGTGCAGCAACGTCTCTCTTTTCGGAGGATAGAAGTGATGTCGCCCGGGAGCTGTGAGAGGCGCCCTGAGGGGCGCCCGGAGTGGAAGGCGTCCGCACCGCCTCCTCGTCGCTTTCATCGGGGACGGCGATGAACCCGTGCCTAGTGGTAATACCCGAGGGCGGCGTTTCCAATAGGAACTGCTCCTGGAAGCTGTCTGCGTCCAGGTCCTCATCCTCTTGGGGCGATGCGGCGGCAACCGCCACTGCAGCGTGCAACCAACATACAGGACAGGTTACAGGGCCGTTCGCTTCCATGCGCTCCAGAAAACACTCTCTCCGGGGAAGTCCAGGTGTGTCCGGGAGCGTGGGTCAGGCGTGAAGGAGAGGGGGCCGGTGATAACAGACAGCAGCCAAGAAAAACAAGCCAGCAACGTTCCATCCATTGCAAGAAAAAAGCCAGAAAAGGTTCACTACTGAGCATGTATCTTCTCCCAGTGACCACACTTCCCTTCTCTACGCTAATCGAGTAGCGGCAAGGACGTTCCTCTCACACATATAGCCAACGTGAACATTTGAGGGTCACCTACAAGTTCGAGAAACGTCCCTACAATGTGACCCCAGACCTTTTGCGAGAGGGCACAGTGGCCATGTCATGCATCAAAAAGCAAAGTGACGGATCAGCGGCAGCTCCAGACATTTCGACATGCGACTACTGACCTGAGGTGGACCTCAGTTACGCTTCAGGGCACTCGCGTTCCTCTGCGGAACCAATAACGCCTCTAGTAACGCACCACCAAAAAGCATTAGATTCTGTCACCACAATTAAAATGTTGACACAGGCGTGAGAACGATTTTAGCAGTGTTTACATTTCAGAACATTATACTTGGCTGAGCTGCCTTGGTCACGCTGCCCGTATACTCAAACATCCCAATGCAAAGAGAGCTTGGGGACAAAATTGTCGTCACTTAATAATTGGCAATGACCAGCGGCTCGCCAAAAGTTGAAAAGCCTGAAGAAAATCCTACGACTATGAAACCTAGAGTGGTCATAATTTAAATAGCCTGACACCATTGTCACCTTCCCAGTACTTAAAAAACTGTCACCAGCGTTAGCGGAAGCCCTGCATAAACGTTCGCTTCTAACTTTGCTTTCTCCTCTTTCCGAATGTGCTATTACGTGCTCCGTATTCGCGACAATTCACCCAGTTACCGTTTCCTAAGTGCGGTAAAGCTGATAACTTTGAAGTGAGATGAGTTTGCACGGTGCAACGTCATAGAATGATTGATGGTTGTGTATAGATGGGCATAGTGTGGCAGATCCTCTTGAGCTGTGATCGGTGGCTAAATGGGTACAACATGAATTGACAACCAAACATATGTTTTCTGCACGTAGGAGAGTGATTACGCCAGTAGCTAAGCGAAACTACGCAGTTCGCATTCAATAACGCATTGCATGCATAATAAATGGTGCGCGCGAAGCAGCGTGTAGACATCAGCTTGCAGCATGCCCTAAATCATGAGGTTTGCCGACCAGGGAGGCACCCCATCCCATTTCTGCAAATTTTAGGCAAGGACAACACAAAAATATTCACCACGGCTTAAACATCGTCCTCGAAAGGTTTTTTGAATGAGAACGGACAGTCGCACCTGTTTAGCGTAGGGCGTTTGATAGTGAGCAAACCAATAAACGACAAATTTCCCGTACCCAATTTGTGTTATAAAATCAATTAATTTTCAGAAACTACTTCCCCCACATGTCAGGCCGTATATAGATTAAAAGAAACCCCGCTTACTTAATTTACGTTCTAGATTTGAGGTGTACTGCGTTTCTGACGGCAAAGTTAAGGTAACGCGGATTAACTTCCCGACGTCAGCGATACAGCATGTGTACTACACTACAGCAAAAGAAAGAAAAAAAAGCATTTCATCGTCTAGCACTCACCTGAGGTTTGAAATATCAAATTAAAAGTTCGTGCATGTTTGCCCTACTGATTGCAAATTAGAGAAACGGGAGTTGACAGCAAGGAACGGGAGGGGGGTCGGGGAACATTGTAAGTAATCACGCAAGTCAACAAAACACAATAGCAAAGTTTCGTAACGATCCGTGCAATTATTCAGTAACAGACGTTTATTGGTGTTAATTTAATATTTTATTCTGGAGCGGTACCCTAGCAGGCGACTGCAAAGACCCGTCTGCTTTTATATTGCCCGCTGTACTGACCGCATGCGTGCGAGTGCATTGCCTATACCGTGTGATCAGGCTACGACACAACAGTGTTGCGGGTTTGCACACCGTAGAGGCCATGGCGCCTTACGGGTAGAGCAAGTGGCAACCCAGCATACTGTTGTGTCGTGGCCTTGATACACGGTACTTTCGGGGCCGCAAAGCTCAAAAAGGATAGGCAAACCCACAGGTACGCCCTGCGCGTTGTACAGTGTAACCACAAAAGAGGAAGGGGTTTGTCATCCACCTAGCGGAGGGCACTAGCAAATACTATTTGGCACATGTTCAAGTAGTTAGTCCAATGCAAAAAACGCAACAAGTAGGAGTTATTTCTTTGCGGTGCCGATTATTAAAAATATTATACAGTTGCCTTAGGTTTGTCAAAACAGCTCGCGGCGGAACCTTTGCAGTTGTGAATACGGAGTACGGGCTGGGGTCTCACGCACACTCACTTTCACAGATGCATTCACACTCAATTAGAATACGTTAAGATTAAACCAATTATAAATAAGCCGCTCAACAACCAACAAACACAATATTCGGTCCACCTATAATAATTCAGTAACTTCACCTTTCAACATACCATTACACAAGGAAAATTCAATGTATACAAGAAAAGATGACTACAGTCAAGATTTTTAAGTAAATTTAATCTACTGGTCATGCTGAAAATGCGTGTGGGCGGGAGCGTTTTCAGCCAACAGCCAGCAGAAAACTACAAAACAGGGGGCAAGCGTAACACTGCTGGCAGGTGAGGCGAGCTTTAAAAGTGCAAGGAAAGTGTAAAGGATATGTAAAAGCGAACTCGACAAATGCATTTCTGTCGAAAAGACGGAGAGTTGCGAGTAAAAACTATTCCACCCGAGGCGAAGAAACCGGTCGTGTAAGTTGTACTTAAGTTATTTAAGTCACCGTTTTTTTTTTTATTATGTTTTCAACTCTACTTTTTAAGGCACTTGAAACATCAGATCATATCACGTTGGTAATAGCAAACTGTGATAGGCAGTTTACTGGGCAACCCAAATACCTGCATCTTAAGAGTTCAACTGGCATGCACTTCAAATCCTTCGCGTCTTTTCATGCACACTTGCAAGTGTTGGACACCCAATGTGTAATGCACTTCATTACGATGCACACTAGACTCGGATTTCGGATAGTAGTGAAGTGGGGTACTCCAGACTCCAGCTTCCTACTGATTGGTTCGTTTTACATAAATTAAAGCGATATGATCTAGTTACATTTTTAGACGCTTCAAATGCTTTTATACCTTGCCATCTACAGTACAGGTGGTTGAATGGTTTCTCCTCACAATTTCCGCGATTACACTATACCGCACGCATCTGCCTGCCATCTCTCGCCTTACGGTGCATTTCGACCCGAGCGAGTAGGCAACCCGAACGCACACATGCGCTACAGTCTACGCACAGAAACATTTGAGGCAAATCAGCCACCTAAAGAAATTCATTTAGCGAAATAAAAACTAAACTGGTTTTTCCATTGCTCTACAATGGCTTCAACACAAATGTGCTTCACATGGTACCAGCTACATTAAGACCGTTGACGCTATCTGATCTTAAACAAAAAGTGCACTTGGGGAAAACGGACTAATTCGGAGGGGTTTAGGGACATGATCCAAGCGATGCGTGGCTTTCCATTGGTATTCGTGCTAACCCCACCACACCTTTCTACCCCCCCCCCCTCCATAAAAATTGAAACGAGGGCGACTTACATTGCCAGTGCAGCAAAGCAGCGACACACACACACAGACATGGGCCTACAAAGTTGATTGACATCTTGGATTGGCGTCCATGGTGGCGGTTTGATACACTCACTCACTCTGGTAGGGAGGGTCAGGTTACTTCTGACGTCATACTCTTGCTAGCCAGCCTAGCCCTACCTCCTGCCCAGCCGAGGGCGCAGCCGCAGCCGCCACACGGAGGTGCGGGGGTGTCAGTGTCGGGGACCTAACAAGCGCGCCGGGCCAGACCAGCCAGGCCACAGAGTCACGTGGTTACACTGTTTGGGTTGCTGTTTCTAGGTCGGCACGCTAATTCTGTTACTGAAGACCCACGTAGGGTATGTAGGGCCACGCCGCCCCCCCC